CAGCCTCTGCACATAAACACTCAAAGCCACCATATGAAAATAGACATTTTAGTACAACTTCCCTCTTGACAGGGCTGTCAGAATTGGGCCCACATCAAAAGCTCTTGGTTTAACACAGCCCTGGCCTGTTGAAGACCAATACCCCTAGAGACCTTACTGGCTACCACATCCCCACAGCTAAATATTTCCTCACTCCGGCAGGCCCAGCCACTTTCTTCCCCTCAAATCTCATCCCTCTCTCTACCACATGCAAGAGCTGGTTTTCTCCATATTGCTCTCCTCCCAGTTTGCAATGCATTTACCTTCTCAGTACCCCTGTGCATAGGGGGCAGAACGATTAGCCCCATCATACAAGCAAGGAACTGATGCGTGGAACTACTGCGACACTTGTCTAGAGTCACAGGTCAGCACGTGGAAGAGCAGTGCTGTCTCTCCAGGGACCCTAGCCACTGCACCACACTTCCTCACAGCCTGTTTTTCTTAACCACTAGCAGCATGGAGCTGCTCTTTGCTCTCCAGAGCTCAGGAAGGCTTTAACTATATCTGATTGCAACTGTGCAAAACCACAGGTCAGAGGGTCTTAGAGCTGTGGCATACAGGGAATCACGAGGCCATGGCCTGTGGATATTGGCTGAACTGCGGCAGCCTCTTGGATCGCGTAGCAAAGGAAGTTGCCAGTCTGGCCAGCAAGCTCAGACTGTGAGAAAGCCTGAGCCCTGCAGAGGCTCCTGCGCACAGAAGAGGGACCAATTCCAAAGCCCGGTGCTGGCCAGGACCCTGCATGCCTTTAAGCAATGCTACATCCTTTTCTGATGTGTTTCATCTTGTGCATTCCATTATGATTTCCAAATATTGGATAGGGTGACAGGAGTTTAGGACAGGTATTTTCAGGATTTGACTTTTAAAAATATATTTACAGCTCAATAAAATAAGAAATATTCAAAGTGAACAGACTGTGAAAAGTGATTTGTTCCAACTCTTCACTGCATGGTTGCAAGATACCAATCACAAAGGCTGAGGAGTGGTTTGAGCATAATTTATTAACCCAGAAGGGACCGCATTGTTAACCAACATTATTTATAGTTAACAGCTCAACCATCTCTACTGAACAACTGTGTGATACCGCAGGGACAAATGCAATGAGTTACTACACAGATAGGACAAAACTAGCAGCAGATCTTTGTTACAGCTGTTAGAAGAAGTGTCCCCAGGAGACAGACACTGAATCTCTAATGGCTATCTTATTTCTCTGAAAATTTATTTTAGTTTTAACTTAACAGTAGGAATGATAGCCACAGTTACAGAGTGACTCTCAATAAAGGAGTATATTGCTGATCTGCAGCTGGCGTTTTCTTATTTATTCCAGAGTCTTTAAGTTCCAGACTTAGCATATGGCACCATATAAATAATGATATAATAATATGTTTTTGCTTTCCTAGTGTCTAGATAGAAAAAAGTGTGATTTATGGTACATGAGCATTGTATTTAAGGCATTATTTTACCCAGAATTTTTAATGTATTTAAAATGCATCTTCTGGTTTTCGTAATCTGTTCTCTCTAAAGAATAAACAGAGCAGTGATGTTTATTTAATGGAGTCATTCATCTTACCTCCTTGTATAAAACCCTAGCTTTCCAGCCCCAGCAGCCAGATCCCTGCAGTAGACAGTGGGGTTGAAAATGGAAAGATCTGCTGTTTACCAATTTGGCACAGCCGAAAGGAAGACATGGGGCTAAAAATTCACCCACAGCAGGACTCTATTTGAAGCCGGCAGGCAGCTGAGAACTGCTCAGCACTGTCCAGCAAAGGATGGAGAGGAGAAGCACATGGGAGAAGTTGTGCAGGGAGTCATGCTGCAAAGAAAACTGCACTGGGATGCTCAACACACAACTGGCCATTCATACACAACAGAGAGCAGGTGCCTATTTCAGCTAGAACAGCAACTGCAGCTACCCGAGCAAACACTGCCTCCCTGAAGGTATGACTGGGATTTAACAGTTTACATCTGTGCTTTTAGACACTTGATAATCTAGCTCTGCCACTGTTACACCTGTGCAGAAATACCCACCTGCAGGCCAAGGGGAAGACCTCCTAATTCACACCCTCAGCAGCTTCTGGTTGTTACTTACTTCCCAGACTGCCAGCAAGGCCTTATTAAGCAAAGTTTCTTTCACAACTGCAAAGGTTGGAAATGCAACTTTACACATGCATTATGCAGAATAATGCATTCATGCATGTGTCTGCAGAATAAACAAGATTTTTGCTTTAAGAAGCCTGGGTCAGTGGCTTTTATCTCCTTCAGGGACTTGCTGCAAGACAAACTAGGAATCCCCTGCCTATAAACTTCAGCCTGCTCCACTGGTCCACATCTCCAGCAGGAAACCTGTCAGGGCCCACAGCTCAGAGCCTAACAAGCACCAGGGAGCCTACAGTAATCTCCCTTATCGCTTGGGGGGGGGGGGGTGCGATAATCAGTGAAGTGTTTGAAAGAAGTTAAGATTCTGAAATGGCACTGAAAGCCCACCCACTCGGCCCTTCAACATCTTTACAAGTTTTGCACAGCATCTTGCAAAGTCTTTCCACGTTAACGCACGCACCAAAACAAAAAACAGAAGACCAAAAAACCCTTACAACCCACACACTCCACTCAAAAGGTCGGCAGTCCTGTGCTGTCTGGGGCTGCTGCAGACCCAAGGGGAAACAGGGGAAAGCAAAGACGAGGCTCAAGGGAGAAGACCCCCTCAGGGAAGAGCTCGCACATCC